GTTCCCACTCCCACTGCCTTTACTCGCCTCGTCCCCGTCCTCCTCCCCCGCATCCTCCAGAAGTTGTGAATTGCGCTTTGATTTACTATGCGACAACGGTTTGGTATCTGGATCGTGTACGGCCGTTTCGGACGACGCGTCCACAGCGCGGTACAATATCCTATCGCAATACGCCGGACACCGTTTCCGGGAAAACGTCGTGGGACCCGTCGTCGCGTCCCCCTTCAGATCATCGCCGCCGCGTTCTTCGATATCGTACTTGTAGGTGGGTAAGAACCCGATAGGCGGTTCCAAAAACCCCCTCAAAAAGTCGCGGCGAGATCGACGGTTGTGGGAGAGTTCGTCCAAGTCGAGTAACGTTGCAACGTCGCCGAGGTCGATGCGGTCCAGGACGTGTTCGCGGGAGATGTTGCGGACGGGGCGGGACCATGATCCTGCTCCGCGCATGCGGTAGTTGAGGTCGCCAAAGAACCAGATGACGTCGTGGTCCATGGCCCATCGTGGGGTGGAGCCGGGGCCGTGGCCGACGTCGGTGCCGCTGCGGGGGGTGAGGACGAGGGTATCGAATATGGAGCAGACTTCTTCGTTGCGCCAGGCCCAGTAGGATTCGCCCTCGTGTGGGCCGAGATGGCTGTTGATGAAGCAGAGGGAGACGGGGCGGGATGTGGAGGGCCGTGGGGTTGTTTCGTCGTCCGCGTCGTAGTCCTCGCAGAGGTCTACGTCGAGACCGACGGCTACGGATCCCTTATTGCCGTACAGGCCTAACAGGCCGGTACCCACCGATCCGGCGCGTATGCCGCGAATCTTGACGCGCGCACCGGGACCTTCGCGTACAAACACCATCAGACCGAGAGCCACCATCCGTTTTACGCACAGCGGTTCGTATCGAATAACTTGGTCTTCATCTTCCATTGTATCGTCCTCAAACTCTTGATTGTCCGCAAAATCCCCCCGCGTGCCACCACCCCCGTACGCGCGCTCCAGCGCCTCAGACGCCAAATCCAACCATGGCTCCAACCCCCCAAGTTCACCTTCCTCCTTTTTCACGATGATACGCGCCGCCCCATGGAAGAATCGTACCCGCGGCAACATCGTAGCAGCCGTTTGGGTAACAAGTTCTTGGAACCCCAAAACAACGATATCGGGAGGTACTATTGCTGGACGGGACGCCGTCGCGTCGGTGGTATCAGCAAACTCGGCAGCATCCGCATTCCCGTTCAAATCTAAAAGAGACCCTCCCTCGTCCAGTAGCGGCGCACCAATCCACGGGAGTATGTCTAGTTCTTGCGCGGCTTCTGGCGTAGGTGTCCTGGTAGCTACGTTCCAGGACCCTACCAGGACGTTGATGTCGTCCGGGGTGCGGAGGGGTGAGCCTACGATGCGCCAGGTTGGAGTGGAGGAAACGGAGGGTGTGAGAGTGGAATAGTCGTCGTCGGAATCGTTTACCTCGGCGCGCGGACGGCTTCTTGCATATTTTTTGGGAGCCATTTTGAGGTTTAATGGGTGGGTGTCTTATTGGTGTAGAGGGCGACCTGGTGCTGACAGGCCCAGTTCCTTCAACTCTCAACGTGTTTCCCAGGAGGGAGTGGTTTCCCCGACCCCTGCTACTAGGTTTCAATTGCGCCGGCGTGTACTTTGTGTCAATTAGTTGCAGTTGCTTGCAAGATGAGTTTTTGGGGTTTGAAATGGAGTTGAAGAGCGATCCACACGTCATGCTTAATTAAGGTCGGACGGAACACAAGTGTCGCTTGGAGAAGGATCCAGCGTCCTCCAGAAAACCGCAATGATCTCGCGCGTTCCGAGGACTATCGCTACCCTCGCTCCTCCCCGCCCTATCGTCGCACGCTCTCGACTACTGCACACGGCTACTGCAGCGAGGTCACCGCACAGCCATGTTTGCGACGTTTGCATCGTCGGTGGAGGCATCGTAGGAACGGCGTTGGCCTGCGCGCTCGGTACGGGCACGGCGTGCACTGAACACACGTATCGGAGCCCAAGGACTCCGTCACCGCTGACTATCTTATCCCTTCCGTTGCAGCGTCACGTCCCGCGGCATCGTCCCTAAAAGTCGCGCTCGTCGAAGCGGGCGACTTGTTCCGACCCGTCGAGGTCAAACCTAACGTGTATTCCAACCGAGTAAGTTCTCTTACACCCGGGTCCGTCCGGTTTCTTCAGCGTACGTCGTCACCGTCTTCCATGTTCCCGTCGCCGTTCACACAGTATCAAAATACTCATTCGTCTTCACGCATTGTTCAGAATTGGGAGTATGGCAGCACATTGACGCAACGAGACCAAGGCCGTACGACAAAATGGAAGTGTGGGATGCGGTGGGGGAAGGGCGGATTAGCTTTGATGCGGCTACAATGGGGGGTAGTGCGATTGCGTGGATTTTGGAGAATAATCTTGTGCAAGCCGCTCTTGCGGGATCGGTGCGGTCTGCTGGAAGCAACATTGAGGTGTTCAACAGGGCAAAGGTGGGGTCGATCTCGGGCGGGGAGACTGTAGGGGATTGGCCGGTGGTGCAGTTGGAGGATGGGAAGACGATTCGAGCGAGATTACTGGTATGTGTTGGTGCGGAAGTTGGTGGGCCTACGCAAAACGGCTCGCTCATAGACCAGTGTTCCCTTGTTTTTTCAGATCGGTGCCGATGGTGCAAACTCGAAAGTACGAGAGTTTGCCAAAATCGAGTCTGTGGGGTGGGATTATCCGCAAAAGGGGATTGTAGCGACGCTGCGGGTCGACAACACTGTTAGCAACGACACGGCATGGCAAAGGTTTTTGCCGACAGGCCCGATTGCCTTGCTACCGGTGAGTCCCCACGTTGCTGTGTTATCGAATCAAAAAACCAGGGTTCTCATCCACGGCATAGTTAGCCGACGGGTACAGCTCACTAGTATGGTCAACCCGGGCGGACCTGGCACCGCGCATCTGCGCTCTCCCCGAGAAGGACTTTGTTGAACTCGTCAACGCAGCTTTCTCAAATCCCGTTCCAGATGTGGAATTCTTGACATCGCAGATAGCACCAGATGGAAAGCCAACCACAGACTTTGCCTTTGAGGCCGACTGGGGACGTCAACGCGCGGTTGTGAATGGACCGTTCCCGCCAAAGGTGCTCGAAGTACGGGAAGGAAGTCGAGCGCCGTTCCCTCTGCGAATGCGGAATTCCTCCCGTTATGTGCAGGATCGGATAGCATTGATTGGGTGGGTCGGTTGGGAATTCCAATTTGCTTGCAGCCATAGATATCCAGCTGATGTTTTCGTCTGACATCAGCGATGCTGCGCACACTGTCCACCCGCTGGCTGGACAAGGGTTGAACTTGGGTCTGGCGGACGCAAAGACGCTGAGTGATGTCATTGACGATGCAGTGTTTGAGGGACAAGATATTGGTGAGCAGCATTCTCTGCACATCAGAAAGATGTTTGCGATGTCTACGATTCACAAATTGACGACTGCGAAATTTCAGGTCAAATCCACGTTCTCGAAAAGTACGCTGCAGAACGCTACGGCCATAATTTGAGCATGTTGACTGCTGTACATGGAATTGGTCGTTTGTTTGGGACGGATTCGAAGATTGTGTCGTGGATTCGGTCGACGGGATTGAATTTGACGAATAGTGCCACTCCATTGAAGGTAGGTCCTTGTCTTCAACGTATTACACCGGTTGTTCTGTGGTGGTGTGAATTTACTGTTTGTGGTTTGTCTCAGGCACAAATAATGGATATTGCGAGTCGGTGAAGTGGGGGGTAAAAGGAAGATTTTGTGATTCCATCCCAATTATGATATTCTATACCACTTCATGCTGCTCCAAATGTTTCATGATGTTTCATATTGTTTTCCATCATTCATCAACTTATGCAACAAGCGTCCAATCCAACGTGCCAGATGTGCGAGAACGTTTGAAACAGCTGGAGCCTTGGTTAAACTCCAGATGCATACCTCTATCCTCTTTACATTCTTTCCCAACGGGATGCCGCCGCGTTCAGCATAAACCAAAAACGTGCGGTTTCATTGTCGGGAGTTTTTTTCCAGGAACTTTGACGTCGTCACAACATTTCTTCTTGGTTTTGCGGATGCGTTTTGCACATCGACTGCGTGAGTGCCAGAGCGAGTAGGGCGGATCACCATACGGTGAGGAAAGGAGAAAGCACGGTGAAAGGCCTGCTTTTTATATTTCGGCGATCTATCTTTCCATGGAACGATTTGGAAACGATGGGAAAAGTTACCGAGAAATCATGTCGCGACCCTTAATTAAACTGCCAGCCACAGGTCACGTGCAGCTGGCTGGAAGAAACTTGAACTTTGGCATTTCATCCCACGCTTCCAACATGACGGGGCCTCAAACATACCCTACACAAATGCAGGCAACGAATTCCGCTCCTCCCGTTGGAGCTGGATGGTAGACAATCAGCTCTGCAGCAAGTGCAGCAATACCCTGTTGCGGCACGGGGACCTGTCAACGAACGGGCAGATGGACCGGAAAGTTAGCAGCAACTCAAAAAAAAACTTATGGAAATCATTGAATTGTGGTAGTGGTCAGAGTGGGATTCGAACCCACGCCTCTTACGAGATTCGAATTCTAATCGCTTACATAAGCAACTTGAGTCGAACGCCTTAGACCAGCTCGGCCATCTGACCTGTTTGAAATGTCCGTAAGACAGTTCAATGAAGAGGGGTCCCTGGGGTGCCGATGAGAAATGCGATTAATTAAGTGTCCACCCATTTCGTCCTCTTTCTTCCGTTTCAGGATAGAATGGCCAAGGCACATCCCCGCCTATAAAATAAAAGGTTTGGGGTTGCAGCACACTTCCACACCCAAGTCATGGAAACGACAATTTCTTCAACTCTAGAGTCAATGTAACCCCCACCTTCTTCGCCCACACCCCTTTCCTCCAAATATTAAATCCCTACCTTTTCCAGCACATCCTCTGCCGTATCCGGCGCGCTGCTGGCCGACGCTCACGGACTTTGTTTGGGAGGTACAGCCTGACCTTGTCTACAACGCGTGAAGACGGACGGTTGTTTCTCACTTGTGACGTTTTTTTTTCAGCGAAAGGCACCGCTCCACACACCGCCGCAGGCCCCGTCATTTCCATAGCATCGCACGCGGAGCGGATGGCGGAACGGTGTGGGAGTAAAGGGGTGACGGTGGTGGTTGAAGGAAGTGAGAGGTTCGTTTTTTGAGTTCTCGTGAGCGGTTACTTTTTGATTCGGGCGGGTACTGATGGGGCATCGTCTATTGCAGGACTGTGGTGATTGGGAAGGAGGGGGATACGGCGTTGGCGGTGTGGAAGGCGTCGTCGTCGTCGTCGCAGTGAAAGTGGGCATCCTGTGTGCATACATAATTTATGACGAGGTTTTTTTGGAAGTTATTTGTGCAGTGTATACGCGGACATGGTTTTTTTTTTTATAAGGCTTGCAAATGAAAATCTTACATGCTAATAGACCACAATAAAAAATCCAGTTTCACCGTTCACCGTCCATTTAATAAAGGCCGCCCTTCCTCCTCGCCCCTGCCCTCCTTCCGCTTCTTGATCGTGTCCTTGATCCCATCCCACGCCCATTGCCCCACCCCACCCTTATTCTTCGTCACCAAATCCACCCGCAGCCGCGTTTTGCCATCTATCATAACCCATACGGCCGAGAGCACCGCAATGACGGTCGCGATGCTGCAGGAAGCGGTGATCATAAACATGATGATGATCTGGTACCGTACAGCGTCGTCGATTTTCGCTCCGCCTGTGTTTCCCGATTTGCACCAGATTGTCAGTACATGTCGGAAAACGAGCAGTGCAAAGTAATGTGGGACCTTACCAAGGATTTGACCCGTCATCATTCCGGGAATCGAAATCAACCCCATGATACTCATCTGGTTCAAGGTGGGTAGCAGGGCCAGTTTAATGGCTTCTACGCAGACAGGTCGCGCTGGAGATCAAAACATGCACGAATGAGTGGATCAAGAAGATTGCATCGTGAGTAGCGGCAATAGGTCTCACCAGCCTCCCAACGCGATGCTCCAAACGCGAAATACAGTTCAAGGTGCTCCCTCCGTTCCAACAGTTGCGTCATGGCGCTGTTGAGGCCAACTGCCATACCGGACACTAGATGAAGCAGATATGAGCACACCAAAGGACGCCCGAGGTGGTTGAATCCGACGTCGACTCACTTGAATTCCCAAGCAACATTCCCAAAGTCGGAATGTACGTGCGTGCCTGGTACCACGGATGCGCCTGAATCGCGAACGCGTTGCCTGACCCAACCACGAACCGTCAATGCTCCGTCCACGGACCCAACCAACGTCAACAAACGCATCGCTTCTCACCGACATACGACGCAACCACAGTACTCCCCAGCATTCCCGTGAGAACAGTCATAAACATCCACTGATGCCGGTGTTTGGCCTTGTTGAAAACAACCTCGATCGCCGCCAGCAAGATCAGGAGTACTGCTCTGGCAAACGTTCGACAATTTTGAGCAATGCCCTCCACATCATGTCCTTAGGGTAACAAAAACCACATACATGACATTCCAAGCACGAATAACCCGTTGTCGGTCTCAAATACTGCGAAAATGTTGGAGAGTTTAGATAAAGATGGAACGTACGCGACAGAACGGGAACCGTGAACGTGAACGTACCAGGCTTGAGAACGTATCCCATCAGCGTCAACTGGATAACGCATCTGAGAGTTGATATGACCAAGGTAGCTTCCAATCCGAGACCAAATGCAAGGGATACGGCGCCTGCAAAACGGTCGATCATTTACCGGTCAGTGAACGTGACCGTGAATGTTTTTTACACCTCGCCAAGCGAATTCACGTCAAAATCCGCATTTTATACAAACCATTAACGATGATCAGAGACGATGCAATTGCGACATTGTACCATTCCTAAAGTTAGACTTGTTAAACACGGAATCTCCCCGTTTTGAGAAGCGTTCGGAGGGGATGGAACTTCGTACTAGATGAGGAGTCTGGCTTGGATCCCGGCAATTCGGCGGCTCCGTTCCGTTCGAAAGGAGAAAGTTCAAGGGTTCCATCGTTGTCATCGTTCGTGATTGATGGGTAGGATGAAGGAGATCGCGGCCGTGCACGTCGTCACCTTGAAGGCACAGTTTGAAGTTGGCCGAAGGCACAGTGACCGCGTTTTCTGCTATAAAAAGGGAGGACCGCTTTGTTCAATCGCATTAATCCTCCTCCAACGAAAATCATCACCACAACCACCACTCCTTCCACCGAAGCAGGCGGTTGCATCAGCCCAGCAAAGATGTCATCTATTACGTTGCCTTACGAGGTATTCCGTATCATCGCCAGATACTGTCATCCCGTCGACGGTCGCACCCTTCGCTGTCTAAACAAACGACAATGTGCATGTCGACGACGATTACGCTTTACGTCGTGCGGCTTCAAAGGGGTGTTTAGACGTGGTCCGTCTACTGTTAGAGAAAGGTGCAGATCCTAGGGCCTTCTACGGGGAAGCCATACACCGGGCGGCAAAAAATGGGCACTTGGCAGTACTCGCTTTGCTGCTGGAGAAAGGAGCGCACTCCCGTGCCGATGAAAAGGAAGCCTTGTCTTGCGCGGCATTGAACGGACACCTCGAGATTGTCAGACTGTTGTTGCAGAAAGGGGCGTACATGCATGCCGATGGGGACGCAATGGTCCATGCAGCGACAAAAGCACACTCGGAAGTGGTCCGTCTGTTGTTGGAAAACGGGGCGGACGTGCCTGTCGATGCATTGCGATCCGCAGCGTCAAGAGAACACTCGGAAGTGGTCCGTCTGCTATTGGAAAACGGGGCGGACGTGAACATTATATGAGAAACCTCTACTTTTGGCGGCAGAACAGGGAAACCTGGAAGTGGTCCGTCTTCTGTTGGAATTTGGGGCAGACGTGCACGCCAACGATGACGAAGCGTTGCATGAGGCAGCAGTACGAGGCCACATCCAAGTGGTTCGCCTGTTGCTGGAGAAGGGGGCGGATGTGAATGACAATGCGCTACATTGGGCAAGGTCAAGGGGATACGTGGAAGTGGTCGATCTGCCGATGGAGAAACGGAGGAGCGACGCGTGAAAGAGCACAACAATCTCGCTCACCCATCCTGCCGAAACCAATGGTCGTGACGTGAAACGGAACAACAACAGTTTCTTCCAAAGACACCGTCATAGCGTCACCATACGCAGAGTGGCCCGCCCGCTCAACCAACTTTGTGCTACTTATCTAAAAGATGAATAAAAATAGAACATGCTATATACACTACATCTATGAGAGTCCGTGAAAAGTTTATGATCCCAATAGTCCCAATAGTCCAGCAGCTCCCAGCCCGGCCATCACTGCCGCCATAGGGCATCCAACCTTCGCAGCACCCGCCGTTTGAGTGTTGTTGTTTTGCTTTCCGTCCGCTCCCGTGTCGTATGTGACCCCAGGAAGGTTGTAAACGACCCTTGTACCCTCCTGCTTTAGGTTTTTGTGTACGGGTATTACGTTGGAGTAATCCACCGCCGCGGTGGAAAGAGGGGAAGACGTCAAAGCCATCAATTTCTCGAATGACTGTGCGTATTGGTTGAAGAAAGCTGTTTCGTTTGAAGCCCACCTGATATGTTTAAACAAAAAAGATGAGGAAGAATTGCAAAATGGCGAACTAAAACCATTTCGATCCGGCACTCACAGTTGAATGAAAGGTTTCAACTCGGGATCTTGTGCAATCTCACAATCCACAGGTAGCGCACAATTCCCGGCAAGGGTCTGCTTGAATACATCATTATCGAACACTCCTATATAGAAGCGTTCGTTTAGCGACAATTTGATCCTGAGTGCGACGATCTATTCAATAACGCACCAGGGGTATTGTCAAAGGGCACGAATGTCTCCTTTGTAATGTTGGGCGATATAGCACCATGAACTCCGCTGAAACCAATGAAGGCAATAAATGGCGCTGTCCTCATATGCAACCATCTAAAAGCCGAGACGTACCCCATCGTATGACTTCCGGTGGTCAATACTGCCATATCGATGGTTGACAAGCCCATCCGGGCAAAATGAGCCTTCACCACATCCAGTTTGTCATTGCCTTGTGGTATTCTTCCGTCTGGATTCGTTTGATTTGCCTTCACATCCACTCGTCCAGGTTTGTAAGTGATTGATGGTCCACCGCAGTGCCGGACACTGACAACACCTCCCAACCCAATCAGGTCCGCCTTGGACATGTTCACCCCACTCGGCATGGGAAACCTCGACGCAATAGATTCTTCGAGCCCAAAATTGTCGGGCCGGTTGAATTCATTCACCAAAGACCCATCGAATCCGGCGCTTCCAGGTGGGCGGTCGGTGGTAGAGTAAGGAGCTGCGTCATGGAACACGGCGCGAATCCACAAGGCGGCCATATTTCTTGACGGGCTTTTAGCAGCGGTGAGATCTGTTCCGACTTCGAGACAGTTGCCTGGAGCTTCCAGCATGAATAATAGGTTCGTCGCGGCGCGGAGGGTGTTCTGTGAAGTTTGGGCGACCGCATTGCGGCTCAGAGCAGCAACGAGGGTCGCGACGAAAGCAACGCGCATGTGTCGTGGTAGATATATGGCAGAGTCAGTAGGTAGTAAGTAATGAAGGGGGCGCCTTTCGGTTGAGGAGGGCGGCCTCGTTTC